CTTCTAGTCAGACGGAGGAGGAGAATACACCTCTCAGCGATTCAAGCAATACCTGGCGGAAAGGGGGATCAAGCAGCTCCTCTCTCATCCCTACGCCCATCAGCAGCAAGGTGTAGCAGAAAGAATGAACAGAACTCTGCAGAACAGCATGCGCAAACTGTTACGTGGCATGCGGCTACCCAACCACCAGTGGCCTGCAGCAATGGACCACGCTGTGATGCTGCACAACTTGCTGTCGTCATCGTCGATTCTGAACAACGCATCACCGCATCTGCTGTGGACAAGGAAACAGGGCAGCACAAAAATGTTACGAGTGTCCGGATGCATGGTACAGTATCGACCCCCAGCAGCACGAGCAGGCCGATTTTCACAACGCGCACAGTGGGGACTACACCTCGGCATCGAAAAGAATTACAACGCGTGGAAAATCTTCGACGTCCACTCCAAGGAAACAGTAGCAGCACGTGACGTCATTTTCTACGAACGACTCACGCTCCAGACGTACCTTGCCAACCTGCAAGAGGACCAAGATCCCACAGGTGGTTTTCGTGGCGACCGAGCCTTCGCCTCCGCAGAAGACGAAGCTGACTGGGACGAGCAGAGTGTAGACAACGCGTCAGAAGAAACCGGACCTCTCCCGTTCTGCTCCGTCAACGTTCCCATGGACGAAGACAACCCTCACGAAAGTGTCAACGCCGAAACCTTCTACTACTTTGCCAACAACGGTTACGTAACACCTGCGACAGTCAACACCAACGAAGCAGAACGAGTAGGACCGAATTTCGTACCTGATCCAGAAGCGGGAGATGAAGCAGCTTATCCCGAGGATGCAACTCTTCCCCACTACTCACAGACTGGACTGCAGATACTCGGCCTCCTCACCGCAGTCCACGGCAACACCCTTCCTAAGGAGCCTGCGACGGTTCAGCAGGCTCTGGGGGGGGAACACAGGGAAAAATGGCGTGAAGCCATGGACAGAGAGTTAAAAGCGCTGGAGGAACGGAACACCTGGAAAGTTGTCCCCATCAACGTGGCAAGGAACAAGACCATTCTCACCGGGAAATGAGTCTTCCGCGTTAAAACAAAAGCAGACGGCACAATTGAGATCTTCAAAGCACGCTGGGTTGTGCGTGGATTCGATCAGGAGCACGGACGGGACTTCACTGAGACATTCGCCCCGGTTAGCCAACATACCTCACTTCGAATCCTCCTCGCGATCGCCGCCATGAAGAAAAGGAAGCTACGGCAAATCGATGTCGCCAACGCGTTCCTCTACGCACCTGTCGACGCAGAGATCTTCGTGGAACTACCGCACGGTACTAACGGAGAGCCCAACCAGGTTTGCCAGCTGCTGAAATCGCTCTACGGAATCAAACAAGCCCTGTGGCTGTGGCAACAGTACCTACACGCTCGCCTCATTCGCATCGGATTCCGCCAACTACCTCACGACCAAGGAATGTACCGACTCACGAAGGGTACCAACTACATCCTGCTGATCGTCTACGTAGACGACCTACTCTACATCGGCTCCACTGACGACATCACCACCTGGTTCGAAGGGGAGTTACAGAGGGACCTCACACTCACGGTCTCCTCTACTGTCACACAGTACCTCGGCTTGAACATTCGAGAGGAAGAAGATGCGATCTACCTCAACGCCACTAAATACGCCGACATTATCGCCAAACGCTTCACGCTCACGCCTACCACCATCTCTACGCCCTACCACTACGCGACAGGAAACCACGAGGAAGGATCCACTCTACTCAAATCTGCCGGGATACGCGACTACCAGAGAAAGCTAGGATGCCTTCTCTTCGCAACCGTTACCTGCCGCCCCGACCTCTCATACTCCGCAAGCCAGCTCGCCACTCATCTCAAAAGGCCTGAAGCAAAACACATGGCCGAACTCGACCGCGCTCTACACTATCTCGTCAAAACGCTAACGATCGGCCTAACATATCACAAAAACGCGACCACACCACCTAAGCTAATCGGTCACGTCGATGCAGATCACCCGTGCGACTCCGACATCAGATGATCACGCACCGGCTACATCTATCGCTTCGAGCCTATCGGGCCTATCTCCTGGCAATCGAGCAAGCAGGAACTAATTGCTCTCGCGTCAGCTGAAGCAGAATATATTGCACTCTGCTCAGCCACCAAGGAAGGACTCTATCTTCGCGAGCTGCTGGAAGAAGCGAAGTTAGCCGAGTTACCCAACTTTACCCTGTTCTGCGACAACCAGTCGGCAATTCGCATCGCCAACAAGAACGGTTTTGCGAACAGGACGAAACACATCGCCCTGCGATACTTCTTCGTGAAGGACGAGATCGAGAAGGGAAGGCTCGAGCTGTCATACTGCCCCACGTCCGAAATGGCAGCTAACTACCTGACCAAGAAGCTCGGAAAGCAGAAATTCGAATATTGCATGCTGCTGACTGGACAGAGCCACGTCAGCGACACTCCAGAAGCGAAGGGGAGTGTTGGAAACAATCGGTCCTAAGCGCCTCTGTCGTGTCGAAACACTTAGACACAAGTGAAGCAACGCATATCGAAGCACCAGCGAGTCAACCCTCGGAAGTTGAAGCAACAGCTGGAGGTTACGCGAAGGTCAAAGGTCAGCGACCTTTGACTTGACAAATGCAGCGCGACAGCAAGGACACACAACTGACTCGATATTGAGCAGTTGCCCGAATCGCACTGTATCGAACCGCAACAGCCAACAGTAAAACAGTTATCATTCGTATCTCTTCGTATTCCTTGTAATCATTTATAAAATCTTGTATCTCCTTGTTTTAATCAACTTACTTTGCCCTCACATACTAGCGCAAGGTGGTTCAGAATCTCTTTGTTAACGCTTCCACTACTACATCATTCTACCCAGAGATTAACCCTACCAAAGATCCTAAGGGGCACTCAGCCCAACACAGTTCACCGCTTTGATAGTTGAGACGTGGGGGTGTCTCGGCGGTCGTTTTCAGCGGTGGCTTCGTCAGCAGGGGGATGCGCACGTGGGGCTAGCTGTATCGCGGGGGGCTTGTCGAGAGGACGCCTCTGTGTTTTCGGCTTATCTTTTAGGGTCACTGAAGGCGCTCATCGGGGTGGCGTTACAACGTGCGCAAGCCCGTGTCATCCTGCTTCGAGCGGCGTCTTCCATGGGGGGGATTAACGTAGATTTGGCGGATCGGGAGAGGGACGATGTCGATGTGGAAGGCGGGGCTCTCTGGGTGGAGGCCCCGTACATGGTCGATACGTTGATGTGATTGAGGGGGGGGGGGGGGTGGGGCGTGGGATGGGATGTCTTGATGGGGTGTCTTGACTGGGCGTTTTGATTGAGTAACTTGAGGGGGGGTTTTATGTGTGTTGCATTTGGGTTCTTTTTGGGAGTTTCATTTTCCTTCTCCCTTTCTTTCTCCATTCCCTTTCTTTTTCAGACACACTATGTCGAGACACATGGTGTGAATGACTGTTCTATCATGGGAAGGCCTTGTTGTGTGGCCCAAAAGAAAGAAGATTTCCAGCATACACTACACTTACTGAACCAAGGTATAGCTTCCCTTTACTTTCTTCTGGATTGCGGAAGGGAAGAAGGTACCACGCAGACCCTCGAGCATGGAATCGTCTGCTACATCGATTCCAGGTGGGACCACCACGATCTCGATACCGCTGCTCCAGATTTCGCTCTTTTTCCTGAAGGCTGCCAACCTCCCATACGCTCTAAACCGCGACAGGTGTCCAAGAGTAGCTGCGAAGATCTTAAGTTGGCCAACAAGGTGTGAGGGAGACGCGCCATGTGGGACCGGCAGATTCTCGTAGTCCCAGAAGATTTCAACAAGAGCGCCATGGTCTGCAGGGGGATCAGATTTTAGCGCGAATATACCTTCACAACCAGTTTTGTGAGCACGCATGGAGCAGGATGCTCGGTTTTCTCGTCCTCGTTCAAAACACTTCCCTCTGGTCGTAGAAGAACAAGCAACACCTATTCTTATTGTCCTGCAGTTGAATCTCGCTCTGTCTGGAAGTGGCGACAGCAGAGAGCTGATGGGCCCACATCCACGTGAAATACTCGACAGGATCATACTGCTGTGTTGGGGTAGTCTTAATCGCAAAATTTAAATCCATTTGACTAGCAGACGTTGAAGAGCGCGTGATTGCGATGAGGGGCTTAATCAAAACCGACACCGACTGTCGAGGTTAGAGGAATGACATCAGGAAACCCGCGTTCGGGTGCGACGGGAAACAGTTCGCATGCATGCATGGTTTCACCAGCATGGAGAATCTCTTGCACGCATTCGGTTTGTTAGCGATTGAGTTCCTGGAGCGTAATGCTGACACCAGCGGCAGTGCGGTCCGGGTTACGAAACCCTTGTCGCTTATCCCGGCGAAAGTTTCCGGTTTGGAGCGAAAGCTAAACAACAAACACGTGGAGCCATGCACATAATCGATCGTCCAGCTAACATAAGAGCTTGACGGCCCTGAAACTACCAGCTACTGTTATACGGAACGTTGTTCTCACTGCAGGCAAGAAGACCGCCTCGCAATGAAACAAAATTCGCCCTAAACTAGGAGTGTCCATCACCACCACCATGAATGTACCCACCATCGTCAATCCCGTCAATCACCCGTCAATCGCCCCTGCTGAAACGAGGCAGCCAGGGTCGGGAGTTTGAGTTGAGGGAAGGAAGGAGATGCGATCGAAAGACCCGGTATAAGATGCCGCCTTAGGCGAAGAGCAATCATCGTGAATAACACTTTTGGCACTTAAGGTTCGACCCAGCCCAGTCCACTAGGTCTAACTACGGTAACCCCTTGCTCTTTCGCCTAATTCAGTTAACGTCAAGTCTTTACAACTTTCTCGTGCATGCCACAGGAATCAGTGTAACACAACTACAATGCGCCTAAATCTCGTAACGCATTCATCCGTCTAGAAAGCAATAATCTTTCAAATAATTCGCTATTGGAAGCATGGTCAGTTGTATCTGCCACCTTCATCCCGCTCAACTGCCTCCTGCCACGCTGTCATCTCCATCAGTCCGCTCCTCATCCTCAAACTCTGCCGCCGCTGTCACAAGCTCGGCTGACAGATTCTTCATCTGACGGATGGTGTGTGGGGAGCAGGGAGAGAGCGCGCATGAGCCATCACACTCTGCAACTAGGCGTGTGCTGCCAATGAGGCGATAAGGATGCGTGCAGTGCTAAGGATACCTGAGCACAATTAAATACCATGGATTACCACTTTATGGTGCTCATCGCCTCATCACCATGGATCCTTATCGATTACTGAAGGCAGCACCACTTACTCCCAGCAGGTGAAGGATGGAGTCCTTGTGGTAGTCCAACGCTTGCACTGCCAGCCACAGCAGGCGAGATGATGACTCTAATGTGATCGTACCGAGTGTGACAGTACTGAATGTGATTAAACCGAATTTGACATTACTGAAGGTGGCAGCCAGCATCCACCCCTGGCAGGTGCTGAATGGAGCCCTTATGGTAGTCGAGCGCATATACAGTGAGTTTTTGAGACGTCTCAAAAACTCACTGTATACGAATGGAGTCCTTATGGCAGTCAAACGCCTGCGCTGTTGGTCAGCCACAGCAGGCGAGATGATGGCTTTGATGTGACCATACTGAATGTGACTGTACTGCTTGTGATTATACCGAGTGTGACAGTACTGCTTGTGATTATACCGAGTGTGACAATACTGCTTGTGATTATACCGAGCGTGACAGTACTGCTTGTGATTATACAGAGTGTGACCACTCACCCCCGGGAGGTGCAGGATGGAGTCCTTATGGTATTCAAACGCCTGCACTGTCAGCCGCAGTATGCGCCTCATCTCCGCACACTCGTCCACCAGCACATCAAGCTGTTGTGGGGAAGGTAGGGGTGCGGGAAAGAGGAGTGGGTACATGTGTAACCGTTGCATCCCCCCACACTCGTCCACCAACACATCCAGCTGTTGTGGGGAAGGAGATACGCCACAGGAATCCCACCTCCCCCGCGTGGCCTTCACCTGCTCTTCCTCCCACCTTGCACCAGTGGGTTACACAAAGTAAAGAAAGAAAGAAAAAAACCTGTACCAATGGATAAACAACAAACGCATTATGCAATCAGAGAAGCTTCTACGCGGTGTTAATCAGGAAATAAAAAAACAGAAGCAAAAACAGTGTATTGAAAGCAAACGTACAGGTCTCACTGCCATCAAAGAACCTCTCACCTCCTCCTCTGCCTTCCGCAGGTTCTTCCTCACTATCGCATCCTGCTCCTCCACCACACTCAGCTGGTCTCGTGCCTCTGCCACGTCCATCTCCCTGCAGCAATCCAGCCAGAGAGGGGAGGAGTTGCGGAGAGAAGGGTATGAAACGACAGGGTGAGAAGGGCTGCGGGGAAAAAAGGGAGGGTAATTATTGGCTTCCTGCTCTTCCATCACACTCAGCTGGTCGCGCGCCTCTGCCACGTCCATCTCCCTGCAGCCACAGCGAAACGGTAAGATAATAACAGAAAGCTCAGAATAAAAAGCAGGACCAAGAGGATGCGGGAAGCTAAGGGAAGGCGCAGCTCAGCTCATCCTGCTCCTCCACCACACTCAGCTGGTCACTCATCCTTCTCAACCTCCCTCCCCCCCTCCTCCCATCTCGCGGTTTCACCCTTGCACGCTTCTTGATGCAAGAACCCCGCCTTCTCTTCGCCGCCCATCCTCTCCCCCGCCCAACCGCTCCCAACATAGCTGCATCCCTTTCCATACTTCTCAACGGGTAATCACATTTTATCCTTCTCCGCCTCATGGTGGAGGAACTTCGCTTTCAGCACCATGCTCACTCCAAACCATCTTATCCACACATCCCACCCCTCGACCCATGCTCACAGCTTTCCCTCCACTCACAGCTTCTCCTTCTGCGCCTCCTGGTGGAGGAACTTCGCTTTCAGCACCATGCTCACTCCAAACCATCTTATCCACACATCCCACCCATCGACCCATGCTCACAGCTTTCCCTCCACTCACAGCTTCTCCTTCTCCGCCTCCTGGTGGAGGAACTTCGCCTTCAGCATCTGCAACTCCCCAACCATCTTATCCGCACACCCTCCTTCTCTCCCCCCCCCCCCGCTCCCCACTCCCCCCGTATAACTCACACTTTCTCCTTCTCCGCCTCTGGGTGCAGGAACTTCGCCTTCAGAATCATATTGTCTCATCCGCACACCCCACGCTCCCGTCAACGCCACTCACATGGCCGCCTCCTGGTGCAGGAACTTGACCTTCAGCATCTGCAGCTATCCCTTCCCCCACTAACCTGTCCAAACATTTCAAAGCCGCTACTCACAGTTTCTCTTTCTCCGCCTCCTGGTGCAGGAACTTCGCCTTCAGCATCTGCAACTCGCGCTGCAGCGACGCCGCCAGGTCGCGCTCGTCCTCCGCCTGCGCCTCCGCTACCTCCGCCGCCTCCTCCGCCAAATCAGCGCGTCTCTGCGCCGCCGCCGCGCGCGCGGAAAGATCCTCCGACTTGCGCGCGAGCATGTGGCGGTCGCGCGTGAGGTTCTCCACCACGCGCTGCTGCGCCGCCGCCTCCGCTTTAAGTCTCTCTACCTCCGCCTCCGCGCCCCGCAACTTAATCTCTACCTCCGCCTTCTCCGCCACCAGTCGCGCAACTTCCTGGTCTTTTTCCGCCGTGCGGCGCTCCCACGCATCCCGCTCCTCCGCCCATTGCGCCAAGATCCGCTGCCGCTGGCTCTCCGCTTCCGCACGAGCGCGCGCTTCCCCTTCCCGCCTACCTTCCTCCCGCTCCGCCCTCTCGCTCTCGAGCCGCTCTTGCTCCATCTCGACTTCGGATCGCTCCAGATCGTCTACTCGGTCTAAAAGAAACTCCTTAGCGGCGCTTTCTATAACGAGTCCCGCCGCTGCAAGCCCCGCCGCCTGCTGCCAGCGCGCAACTTCCGCCTCGCTGCGCCTCCGCCTCTCCGCTTCCTCCTCCGCCTCCTCCTCGTCCCTCCAGGCGCGCTCCGCGCATGTGAAGCACGGGTGCTCTTTCTCCCGTTCCGCCTGAAGCTCCCGCCGCAGGTCCGCCAGCTGCTGCGCGAGCCCCGCGCGCTCGCGAGAAAACGCCTCGTCTCGCGCGGAGAGAGCCGCGCGAAGGTCGGAAGCCGCGCGCGCGGAAGCGACGGCGGCGCCTCGTTCCAACTCTGACCGTTCCGCCTGCATCTGCGCGCGTAGCTGCGCCTCCGTCTCGCGCGCCCGCGCGTCATTGGAGGAGATCTCCCTGCGGAGGGACTGGCGGAGAAGGGGAAAGAGCAAGGGCAGAAGTACCGGAGAGAGGGCGGGTGAGCGGAAAGCACTCAGCTTATTGTGAGACAAGCACTCGCCTTGTCCGATAAGCACTCACATCGTTGTGCGATCAGCGCTCACGCCGTTGTGCGATAAGGGCTCACTTCGTTCCGCGATAAGCACTCACCTCGTTGTGCGCAGCGACCTCCTTGAGCTGTTGCTGCAGCTGCTCCATCTCCCCGCGTCGCCGCTCGTAGTCCTGCTGAAGCCTGCATCGCACCACAGCGGAAAACGACTCACATTATCGCATTAGAGGGGAATGCGCCGTTGCACAAAAATCGGATTGCGGCACTCAGCGACACACTCGACGAGGGATCCAGTGAAATCCCGCGTTTATCACCATCCACCGGATTGAAGGCTCTCGGTGCCATTTGTAGCCGAATGCAATCTACAACAATCTCGGTAGGTGCGAGCACTGTACCGCCAAGAGGTGACTTTTCAGTCGACTCAAGAGGCTCTCGACGCCATTCGTAGCCAGAGCAACCTGCAACAATCTCACCAGGTGCAACCATGGTACTACCGATGTCCTGGCGTTTCCGAATCGTTTACAAAAGGTTCCAAAATGCCATTGGCTACAGAATCAGCATCATGCATGATGCAAGGCGAGCAGACAACCGGGCCCACTCACAATCCATGGCATCGACCGAGCTTCTTATAATCAGCGGCCATCACTCGAAGCACTGCGCGCCATTTCCTCGCCTCCTCTGTCTCCTCGGCTGCCTTGATTGCCGCATTTGGTCTGTCATGAAACATCGTCCCGTTCCCCGTGCGAGGCGATCTCTGACTTCTGTCGTTAATCTCCATGGCGTTGCCGGAACGAGGTGACCGTTGAGTTCTGTCGTTAAACCCCGCGCCGCGTCGACCGGCGGAGTTAGTAGTATTACTATAATACTCGGGATCGCCGTTGGACTGGTAACCACGGATCTGCTGCTGCTGCGGTCCACTTCGCGAACCAGTGTTACGAGTTACAGCAGGATCCTCTGCTTCGTAAAAATACGATTTCGACGGACTGTTTATCGAAGGAGACGTCCTAGTCCCTGCTGAGTTTCGACTAGGAGGCTGCGCGTTTGGGGAGATTTGCGAGAGCATGACGAGTGTATGTAGCAACAGCACTAGGGATAATCTAACTTCAAGTCGGGTGCAGATGGACGAAGGACACACTCGAGAATGTCACCAACGAGGCTACCGAAACAAGCTACGAGTTCCTACGTCCCGCGATATTTGCTAGTGGGCGAGAATGATCAGGAGTAAAACTCTAGGCTCTCGCATTGAACGCGAATCAACATTGCTGAATAACAACCATAACATCACCAGTTCGCTCGATATAAACCACTGCCTGCAAAGCCCAATACTTCAAAAGCCGATCCGCTCACCTAGAATTTGTGGCACAGATACCTAGACCCTCCGCTTTGGCAGCGTAGGATCTCCCAATAACCTTTACAACACGGTGCTAGAGGTTAAGATACGGTACAGCTTGTTCCTGTTTGGTAGTGAATGGTGATACCCGCCTCTCTCCCATGACAGTGGGTTTGGAAAGGAGAAGCAGGGGAAAGGTGCGGAGTTGCATCCCGCGGTAAGCTCGAAGCGCCGCCTCTTGAAAGTCCCGCGCCTTGCAGCAGAGCGGCGGTGCTGATCCGTCCGATTGAGTACAATATCTGCGGCGAAGTATCTGACACGCTGAAAGGCGCACCACGATTTGCGACTGACACGCCTAGCATGTGTCAGACGCTTTTAGCGAAGTTGAGAGTACAGCAATACATAAAGCCTCCCAACATTTCTTATTACTTCATGTACTATTTTGGAGCCATGATGTGAACGATATGACCAGGACAATGCATTCAAATGTCCCCGTTTTATCTCAACCCTCTCCTTGTCGACCTTTCTCTATTTATCAATCTAGCTTCCGTAGCTTCTTTCTTTGCTTTCCTCCTCTCAATCGCTGCTATCTTAGCAGCTTTCTTTCGCCTTCTTGCATCTTTGGCAGCTTGTCTCCTGGCCTTACCCTCCAACCTAGCCTTCCTTGCTGCCAGTCTCTCCTTCCTTTCTTCAATAGCAGCTTCTTTTCTGGCCTTACGAAGCCTCTTGGCTGCCTTGGCCGCTGCAACCTCTTCCTTCTTCCTCCTCCTTGCTTCCTTAGCAGCTTTCTTCAAAGCCCGCTCTGCTTTCGCCTCTGCAACTAGCTGAGCCTTGGCAGTTAACTTTTCTGTACTGGCCTCCATGAAACTTGTTGAAGCAATTGTTACAACTGCAGTTCCAGTGTTGCTGCTGCTGCTGCTTCCACCGACGTTGCTGCTTCTCCTTGACGATCCCGTGCCTTTGTTCGCTTTGGCGGCAGATTTGGTATCAGGAACCGAACACACAGCCCCTTCGTCACTCCCATCTGCGTGGCAGGGAGGGCAGTGTGATGGGGCATGCATGGGGAAGTTGGCTGGAAACGAGGGAGGGAGGAAGGACCTGGTTGGCCAATTCATCACGCGAGAATGAGCACATGAATCATTGTGTAAGTGGTCGTCTGATGTGTTTACGTCTAATTACAGGCACGCTCGAAACAAGAGTCGTTCGTACTAACCACACCACCACCACCTTTACAGAAGCATTCACATTGGAAACCACAGCCCAGTATCCCAGAAACCCACTGACCCATGGCACACTCTACCACAGTCAAACCACCCGTCGCTATTGAGAATTCTCCAAAATGGCTACACTTGAGTCGCGTTTAAGTATTTTTTTGAAGTATCCCACTTTTCAGTCGCTTTTGAGAATTCTCAAAAGTATTCCAGGAACCCACTGACCCATGCCACACTCCACCACAGACAAACTACCCATCGCACCACCGCCATAATGCAGACATTGCACACCAGCCTTGACCCGGGTTTTCATCAAAGCAACCCTACAACCCAATAACCCAGCAACCCAGCAACCCAGCAACCCTGCAACCCAGCAACCCAGCACTCACCAGCGCAGTCCACCAGCCCGTCGCACCACCGCCCCTGCTGCACGCACTGCTCCCCATCTGCACACTTCCTCCAACCCTCCGGGCACGCATAGGCTCGGCACAGGTCCGGGTCCTCGTCCTCAGGCTCGGGAGTGGCGAAGCAGTCCGTAACCCCATCACACAGGTTACCAGCAGGCGTGCAGTAACCAGTCTTGGGGCATTTGAGCCAACCGGGGGGGCACGGGTGGGGCAAGCAGTTTGCCTCGTCCCAGCCTCCCAGGCAGTGCTCCTCGCCGTCACACAGGTCGGTCTCGGATATGCAATATGTGGGATCGGAGGGGCATTCTATCTAGAAAGGGAAGGGCGAAAGGGAGGGAGGAAGGAACAGGGGCAGCCAGAGGAGTACCGTAAGTTGGAGGGCTTGTTGGGCCTCATCCCAGCCTCCCAGGGAGTGCTCTTCCCCGTCGCACAGGTCCGTTTTAAAATGCAGTAGGTGGCGTCAAGAGGGCACTCTATCCGGGAAGGGAAGGCCGAAAGGGACGGAAAAGGGGGGGAAGAAAGAACAAGAGTTATGATGAGACGTCTCAAAGCAGCTTTCTTACCACGTGTTGTGCTCTCATACCATGCCACATGCCACACTCACCATTCCTTGTCTCTGGCAGTACCCCTGCTTGTACAGCTCGCTGCACTCCTCCTCGCCCTCGTCGCTGCCATCGCTGCAATCCTGATTGAAGTCACAGTACCCTCCCCGTCTCATGCACTGCCCGCCTCCCGGACACCTGTGCTGCAGGGGACAATGAGACACAGAGGGAATGTAAGACGGTGTGACTCTCATGACCTCTCGTCCAAATCAGTTTCTTTACGATTCGCATGACAGTGTGACCCTCATGACCTCTCCCAGGCATCAGTTAAACACGCAGTGGCCCCTCCCCCTCATGCCCTGCCGGCCTCCCGAACATCTATCCTGCTTGGAGTAGTGACATGACATGTGGGGAGAACGGGCGATGATGCACGGACTCTCATGTGCACTCACGCGCTCACGTTACGCGCTCACTCCACTCTCATCGCCACAGTCCCTGCCGAAGTCGCAGTTGCCACCACTCCCCCTACCCCCCCCCCCCTTCCCCTCATGCACTGACAGCCTCCGGGACACCGTTGGCGCAGTGAAGCAGAGAACGGAGATGAGCCGAACGTGGACAGGGGGAGATGATGAGGAGGACTTTTAGTCCACTCAAAAGACAGCCTCCGGGACACCGTTGGCGCAGTGAAGCAGAGAACGGAGATGAGCCGAACGTGGACAGGGGGAGATGATGAGGAGGACTTTTAGTCCACTCAAAAGACAGCCTCCGGGACACCGTTGGCGCAGTGAAGCAGAGAACGGAGATGAGCCGAACGTGGACAAGGGGAGATGATGAGGAGGACGAGTTTTGGGTCGTGGAAAAACTCGATTATTCTCACGCGGATTTTATACAGGGAGGCTTTTTGTAGCCCCCGGGACATGGTTGGCGGCGCAATGAAGCAGAGAACAGGGAGGATCAATGAGAACAGGGAGGATCAATGAGAACAGGGAGGATCAATGAGAACAGGGAGGCTCAATGAGAACAGGGAGGATCAATGAGAACAGGGGGGGATGAGGAGGAGGACGGGGTGGAAGGCTTTTGACTTGACTCAAAAGTCACCTCGATCTTATACAGGGAGGCTTTTTGTAGCCCCCGGGACACGGTTGGCCGGCGCAATGAAGAGCATGGAGGCACAATGAGAACAGGGAGGCACAATGAGAACAGGGAGGCACAATGAGAACAGGGAGGCACAATGAGAACAGGGAGGCGCAATGAGAACAGGGAGGCACAATGAGAACAGGGAGGCGCAATGAGAACAGGGAGGCGCAATGAGAACAGGGAGGCGCAATGAGAACAGGGAGGCGCAATGAGAACAGGGAGGCGCAATGAGAACAGGGAGGCGCAATGAGAACAGGGAGGCGCAATGAGAACAGGGAGGCGCAATGAGAACAGGGAGGCGCAATGAGAACAGGGAGGCGCAATGAGAACAGGGAGGCACAATGAGAACAGGGAGGCGCAATGAGAACAGGGAGGCGCAATGAGAACAGGGAGGCGCAATGAGAACAGGGAGGCACAATGAGAACAGGGAGGCGCAATGAGAACAGGGAGGCGCAATGAGAACAGGGAGGCGCAATGAGAACAGGGAGGCGCAATGAGAACAGGGAGGCGCAATGAGAACAGGGAGGCGCAATGAGAACAGGGAGGCGCAATGAGAACAGAGAGGCGCAATGAGAACAGGGAGGCGCAATGAGAACAGGGAGGCGCAATGAGAACAGGGAGGCGCAATGAGAACAGGGGGAGATGATGAGGCGGATGGGGAGGAAGGGACCGGAATGTCAATGTCACCCACGCCGCACCGACCCCATTCTGCACCGCACTCCACCGCGCTGCAACGCCCAGGATGCCCCAAGCAACGACCCCAGCCGTACGCCTCTCACCTTCCCCACGCTGCTGCAGTCGAACGCGTCGCAGAACGTCGCATCCTCGTCGCTCTGGTCGCCGCAGTCGGCGATTCCGTCGCAGAGAAACGCGCGATCCACGCACCCCGCCCCGCCTGGACACATAGTTCTCCCCCCCGCGCACTGCAGCAACTCGCGACCTCGACTCGGACGTGCAATCGTTTGCACTGAAGTACTATCGACAAAAATATAACTTTTTACGACCTCCATAGCTGATTCACGTCCATCATCATGCCGCCCTGAAAATCCGCCTATAATAACTCCGCCCATATCTCTGCGTGGTGTTCTGTGACTGATCAGCCGTATAACGAGGCTACTCTTAGAACGTGTAGACGATTGTGTGTGCGCCGTCGCGGAAACAGTTTCTGTGTGAGTCGTGAGACCGGGACCGCGGTTGGTGTTTGGTGATGCCGCGGTTGACGGGACGCCACCCGCCTGTGAAACGACGAGGGAGAGGAGGAGGAGTAAGGGGACCGTTGGGGTATTGGCGATGCGGCACCTCGTCGGCGCGGTTCGTCTTGCGGTTCGCGCGGCGGCCATGACGCCTCAACGCTGTATTACTGTGCTTAATTAGGGCTTACTGTAGTGCGAATGTTCGGAACCTTCAAGAATGATGAAGAAAGAAAGATGCCCGTGGCTGAACCGCTCGACGACGCATTTCGAGCTAATATGTGTTGTCACCTCCAACAATATGAGGGGGTGTTCAGCCGACTAGTAAGGTCGTAAATCAAGTCTAAGAAGCCGAAAACGATCACTTCTTCGCTACAGCCAGCTGGTTCGCTATTTGCAGTAGATTCTACTATGGACATGTGAGGCATGGGTAGGTAGTAGTACCGAATCAGGTGGGTGACGCTAATGGGAGCTATTCGCCGTAAAAAGAAGTCGATGGGGTAGGTCAATCAAAGCGCGCGTAGCGGCGTGGCGCACGGGGAAGGCTGGGACTGTGCTTTCAGATCAGTCTTTAGGTGCCAATCTTAGCCGTAGTTAGCGCCTCGGTTAGGATGGGATGTCATGGATGATGTCGGCGCAAAAGAGAATTTTGTTGGTAGTTTTTCCTGCTTCCGCGCGGCGCAGTTCCCTTCTAATCGGTCATGTGCGTTACCGCGGCTTAAATTGCAATACAAATGTCTGTCTATCTGGGTGTTGGATACAGCACTATTCATGCTCACTTCAGGAGAACGGGGAGGGCGTTTCTGCGCGCTGCAGCTCATTCTTTTGTGGGGGGGGGATTCCGCGTCGCTGTTGTTTCTGCATGGCGTTTCACCTCCAGCTGATTATCTGCGATACTACCATAGTGTGATTAGGGTAAGCATGCTGGTGTTGCGGATAATGAAAATGATCACGACACATACAAACACATCAAATGGTAAAGGTTGGGCCGATTATTACATACATTCTCATCCTATGAAATGTTTCCTTATTTGCCTAAAAAATACTCTTACATCGAATATTTTCTTGATGCCTGGTTCCAAGGTACAATAAAAAGCACTACAAGAGAATCTGCATGTTGCTGATATACCGGTACGGTACCTATGTGCTTTTGTCATACCAGGGCACACACAGGGTGAGAGGTAGTATTGGAAACAATAAACGGGCGTTTGCCAATATGCATGTTAACTCCCACTAGCATCTTTACTATACAGTTGATATGAAAAACCATCTGCTTTTATTCACGTACACGAACAAGCAACTTGTAAAAATGCAAGCAATGCAAGAAGCAATAATAAAGAAGACCAGCCCACAAATTTACAACACAGCACGCACTACAGTATCTTGAATGGTTACTTGGTGGTAGCCTTGTTCTTGGCTGCTACCGCTGCTGCCTTTTCAGCCTGTTTCTTCTTCTTCGCCTCAATAGCAGCGGCCTTCTCAGCCTGCTTCCTCTTCTTCTCAGCAATAGCAGCCTCCTTCTCTGCCTGCTGTTTCTTCTTAGCCTCAATAGCCGCCTTCTTTTCAGCTTCCTTTTTCTTCTCAGCCTCGATTGCAGCAGCCTTCTCAGCCTGCTTCCGCTTCTTCTCAGCAATCGCAGCTTCCTTGTCAGCCTGCTGCTTCTTCTTGGCTTCAACAGCCGCCTTCTTCGCAGCAACAGCAGCCGCTTTCTCCTCCTTCGCTCGGATCTTCGCCTCAATCGCCGCGTTCTTTGCCGCCCGCTGCTTCGTCTTCTCCTCTTCTGCCGCCCGCTTGGCTTCCATCTTCTGCTTCTTGGCAGCCACGGCTGCCGCCTTTTTCTCCTGAGCCAGCTTCTTCAGCTTCGCAATCTCCTCCTTGCTCAGAACCACCGGGACGCTGCTGCTGTTGGAAGCACCTGATGAACCACCTGAAGAACCACCCGAGCTGGTCCCATATCCTCCAGTAGCAGGCGGAGGAGGAGGAGGCACAACACAAACCGCCCCTTCATCGCTCCCATCCAAACAATTCACAGCGCCATCGCACCACCGACTGGCTTCCGCACACTGCAACCCATCCGCACACTTCCTCCACCCCTCCGGACACTCATACCCTTTACAGAACTCTTGATTCTCGTCCTCCACACCCATCTCTCCCCAGCAATCCGGCTTGCCGTCACAGAGGCGCCCCTGGGCACAGTAGCTGGTGAGAGGGCAGTGGATCTGGCCGGGCTGGCACGTGTGGTTGAAGCAGTTGAGCTCGTCCCACCCATCGGAGCACTGCGGGATGCTGTCGCACACCTCCTGAGGGCCGATGCAGTACCCAGGGTCGTTGGGACATTGCACCTGCAGGGAGGTTGCGGGAGGGAGGTGGGGAGCGGAGGTGATGGGAGGAGGTGAGTTTGGCTTGCAGTGGAATCACAAGGCACGGCGAGAAGCTGCCGCACGCCAAGAAAGGGCGGATGGAGGAGTCCCGGGGTCGCTGGGGCATCGCCACATGCAGGGAGGTTGCGGGGCAGGAGGGAGGACAGAGCAGCGAGAAGGTCGGGGGGGCAGGAGGGAGGGAGGAAGGAGGAGACAATTGGAACCAACGCATGAGGCAATGCAGGTTGCTGTCCAGGTGCAGTCCCTGGCTGTCAAAGCTCAGCAACAGGGATCGCCCGGCGCTCAGGCGTCAAGAGCAGATCCACTCAGGAGTGGATCTACTCTGGAGTCAATTCACTCAGGAGTGGATCCACTCTCCAGCTCCAGGGATCACACGGCACCAGCCCTTGCGGCAACGAGAACTCACCAGCCCCTTGGGCTTGCTCAGGTCCTTGGGCTTGCTCAGGAGTAGATCTATTCTCCAAGTCCAGGATCACATGGCACGGCACAGGCCCTTGCGGCAATGATAACTCACCAGCCCCTTGGGCTTGCACAGGTCCTTGCTTCTGTAGATGTGGTAGCACCGTTCGGGCTCCTCATCGCTGCCGTCCGTGCAGTCGTAGTTGAGGTCGCAGAATGAGTTGAGCGCACGGCACTGATAGCCCTCGCGGCACCACGTCTGCATGTAGGTGGTGGCGAGACAGGGAGGGTGAGGGAGGGGGGTGGATTGGAGGTGTGGCGGAGGAAGAAGCTGAGGTCGTGGTTCAGGTCGAAAGGACCCGCCCACCAGGCGGCACTCATAGACCTCGGGAAGAGCAAGGGGCCCTCACCTTGCCCCCGCCTCCCCCTCACCTTGCCCCCGCGTCCCCCTCACCTTGCCCCCGCCTCCCCCTCACCTTGCCCCCCCCTCCCCCTCACCTTGCCCCCGCCTCCCCCTCACCTTGCCCCCGCCTTACCCTCACCTTGCCGACGCTGCTGCAGTCGTAGGAGAGGCAGAAGTCGTAGCCGTCGTCGCTGCCGTCGTCGCAGTCGAACACGCCGTCGCACAGCTTGTCCGCTCGCACGCACCCCGTCCCGCCCGGGCACGGCACGTTCCCGGGCCAGCACTCACCGTCCGCCTGCGCCGCCGCCGGAAGCGGCGCCGAACACGCAATCAGCAGAGCCGCGGCGGCAACGACGAAGGCCGCGGTGACTGCGGGAGACGATCGCGGAGTGACCGCCCTTCCGATCATGATGACCAGTACAATCCGGCGAGATCTCAAAGGATCGGACCGTTCCGTAGAGTGAAAGACCGCCCGCTACTTTTTCAGATGCTGATAGACTCCGAGTCGCTATCGCTAGTTCAGGTCTGTTTCGTTTTCGTCTATCTCTCTTCTCTCCTGGATTTGAAATAGCCTGTCAAAAACGACACTCTGATCGAGCTTCCTCTCGAAAGCTCCGAGTCCTGTTGTCGCGTGATTTGCGAGCACCCTGCTCTGACAAATTATGGCCCGACGAGAGGATAGGCGACTTCTACGGCTACTAAGACATAAGAGAGGACTCTGACAGAAAGAGTTTGCCCGGAGGGAGGGCGGAATTGCACAGCTACACACGCAATGACGCTGCCATCGCTCGCCCATGTCGACGGCGTGTGGAAAGTAAAGCGGGCCAGGGCCACGAGGAGAGAGGAGAAGGCGACACGAGACGAGGGGAGGGGAGTAGAGATGGCGTGTGCTGAGTTGGAACAGGCAGGTGCCAAACACACAACCGAGAACGCTGTACAGAAGCAGGACTTTTTCTGCTGCAGTTGATGCCACCCCACGCCACCCCGCTCCACCTGCGTGCTGATTTCCTGCTCCTGAGTAAGCTGAATGAATTGCCTGAACAAGCTGAGCTGTGGGGGTTGAGCAAAATTGTCTTTCGGTCGGAAATCGCTTATAAAAAAAAACACACACACAAAAAAAACGGCGGTCCATTCGCAGTTCAAAGAATGTGATTGGGTGACGGATGTTCTTCCATGCTCATCTGACGGCTCCGATGGTTCGATGTGGAATTGAGATTGCTAAGGTGTTGCCCCACATGAAGCAAACTCACTTCAGTCGTGGAAACGCTCATGCTTAGAGGGAGGGCATTTCTGAGCGGAATTTCGCGTCGCTGTTGTTTCACCATGGCATTTCACCTCCAACTACTTATATGCGATACTGGCATACGCTGTGCAGCTACGAACGGACAATGGAAAGAGCAATTGTATGATCACGACCGTACCAAAGAGGCTTCGTACTAATTTAATCAATTTTCAGCTCGGCTAGGTTTCAGATACTGTAAGCAGCTTATATAGAGGCTGCATATGGCTTAGTAGTACTGCCAGGGGAATCTATATTGTATTTCTTCATGTAGACAAACAAGAATCGTAAAAAAATGCAAGCAATACATGAAGCATTAATAAACAGCACCAGCCCACTAAACTACAACACAACACACAAAACATTATATTGAGTGGTTACTTGGTGGTTGCCTTGTTCTTGGCTGCAACTGCTGCCGCCTTCTCAGCTTGCTTCTTCTTCTTAGCTTCAATAGCAGCAGTCTTCTCTGCCTGCTTCCTCTTCTTCTCAGCAATCGCTGCCTCCTTCTCAGCCTGCTGCTTCTTTTTGGCTTCAATAGCTGCCTTCTTCTTGGCGTCCTTCTTTTTCTTAGCCTCAATCGCAGCAGCTTTCTCCTCCTGCTTCCTCTTCTTCTCCGCTATTGCAGCTTCCTTTTCAGCCTGCTGCTTCTTCTTGGCTTCAGCAGCAGCTTTCTTCTCGGCAACAGCAGCCTTTTTCTCCTCCTTAGCTTTGATCTTTGCCTCAATCGCAGCGTTTTTGGCTGCCCGCTGCTTCGTCTTCTCCTCTTCTGCCGCCCGCTTGGCTTCCATCTTCTGCTTCTTGGCAGCCACGGCTGCCGCCTTTTTCTCCTGAGCCAGCTTCTTCAGCTTCGCAATCTCCTCCTTGCTCAAAACAACTGGAGTGCTGCTGCTGTTGGAAACACCTGAACCACCTGAAGAACCACCTGAGCTGGTCACAGTTCCTCCAGTAGCAGGCGGAGGAGGAGGAGGAGGAGGCACAACACAAACCGCCCCTTCATCGCTCCCATCCAAACAATTCACAGCGCCATCGCACCACCGACTAGCCTCCACGCACTGCAACCCATCTGCACACTTCTTCCATCCCGCTGGACACGCGTACCCCTGGCAGAAGTCCGGGTTCTCGTCCTCCTCGCCCATCTCCCCAAAGCAATCCGGCGTTCCATCGCACAGCCGGCCCTTTGCGCAGTAGCCGGTGATGGGGCAGTGGATCTGGCCGGGCTGGCACGTGTGGTCGAAGCAGTCGAGCTCGTCCCACCCGTCGGAGCACTGGGGGATGCTGTCGCACACCTCCTGAGGGCTGATACAGTACCCAGGGTCGTTGGGGCACCGCACCTGCAGGGAGTTTGCGGGAGAGAGGTGGGGGAGGGATGAGAGGGGGACAGTGGATTCAATTGGGCTGGCATGTGTGCACGAAGCAGTCGTGCTCGTCAGGCCCGTTGGAGCACTGGGAGAAGCTGTCATACACTTCCAGGGGGGTGATGCTGAGACCTTGCAACGCTTTACTACGGACCCCTTGGCAGACGATAGCTCACCAGCCAGCCCCTTGGCGGCGCACAGGTCCTTCTGCAGGTCCTTGTAGCAGGGGTAGCACTGCTCGGGCTCCTCGTCGCTGCCACTGTTTCAACCAGAGCCATGTTGCTCCTCTTTCACTGCTGTGACTGAGGATAACTCACCAGCCCCTTGGCGGCGCACAGGTCCTTCTGCAGGTCCTTGTAGTAGGGGTAGCACTGCTCGGGCTCCTCGTCGCTGCCGTCCGTGCAGTCGTTGTTCAGATCGCAGTAGCCGCTCACCGGCCGGCACTGGTAGCCCTCGCGGCACCACGTCTGGATATATGTGATGGCGTGGGATGGGAGGGACGAGAGGGAAAAGGGTGAGAAAAAGTGGGCGTGTGGGAAGGGGAACCGGCCTCGGCAGGGCAGCAGTCGTTGTTGAGATCGCAGTACGCGCTCTCCGTGCGGCACTGATAGCCCTCGCGGCACCACATCTGGATAGGAAAAGAGAGAGAGAGAGAGAGAGAGAGAGAGAGAGAGAGAGAGAGAGAGAGAGAGAGAGAGAGAGAGAGAGAGAGAGAGAGAGAGAGAGAGAGAGAGAGAGTGAGAGAGAGAGAGAGAGAGAGAGAGAGAGAGAGAGAGAGAGAGTGAGAGAGAGAGAGAGAGAGAGAGAGAGAGAGAGAGAGAGAGAGAGAGAGAGAGAGAGAGAGAGAGAGAGAGAGAGAGAGAGAGAGAGAGAGAGAGAGAGCAGAGGGGACAGGAAGGGACGGGCAGCAGTGCCCGCAGCAGGCGTTGCTGAGATCGCAGAAACGCGCCCACCGGGCGGCACTGGTAGCCCTCGCGGCACCACGTCTGGCGGTAGGTGAGAGGAATGAGGGGACAGAGTCGGAGGAGATGAGAGGTGGTAGATGAGAGCAGGCGTGCCCGTGCTCCCGTCCGTGCAGTCATTGTTTCGGTCGCAGTACGCGCTCTCCAGTGCGGCATTTGTAGCCCTCGCGGCACTACGTCTGAAAGTAGGCGGCGGCACAGGGAGAAGGAAGGGAGATTGGGGGTGTGTAAGGGGAACAAGCTAGGACCGCCAGTCGCTGTTGAGATGGGGCGATTGGGGGTGTGTAAGGGGAACGCGCTCTCCGTGCGGCATTGATAATCCTCGCAGCACCACGTCTGCGTATAGGTGGCGGCACATGAGATGGGGAAAAGGCGAAGGGGACAGGTTGGGGGCCGGGCAGCAGTCGCTGTTGAGATCGCTGAACGCGCTCACGGTGCGGCATTGTTAGTCCTCGCAGCACCACGTCTCGCGGGATGAGAGGGAAGTGGAGGGGAGAGATTGGGCACGTGCTCGTTGCCTCCACTCCCCTCCCGTCCCGTGCTCTCGTCTTCCGCCTCGCCGACTCACCTTGCCGACGCTGCTGCAGTCGTAGGAGAGGCAGAAGTCGTAGCCGTCGTCGCTGCCGTCTTCGCAGTCGAACACGCCGTCGCACAGCTTATCCGCTCGCACACACCCCGTCCCGCCCGGGCACGGCACGTTCCCGGGCCAGCACTCGCCGTCCGCCTGCGCCGCCGCCGGACGCGGCGACGTGCACGCAATCAGCAGCGCCGCGGCGACGGCGAACGCCGCGGTGACTGCGGGAGACGATCGCGGAGTGATCGCGTTTCGGGCCATGATGATGGCCTAGATTTAATATGATTTGATTCGATCCTATCCGGAGAGTTTTCAATCAGCCGACTTTTGCGTCCGGTCTCTGTCTCGATTTTCTGGCGACTAAGAGAGTCGAATCTTCGTTCCACTCGAGCTTCCTCTCCTCTGAAAAGCTCAAAATCGTGTTTTGTGGGATACACAGGCACGCTGCTCTGGAAAATCACCTGACGAGAGGCTGATATGGTAGATCAAGGACAGAGAGGACAGGAAGGAGATGAGGGATGACGCAATGGTCCTCGTGTGGTCTGAAGGCGTATTCCTGCACTTCGAGTCATTAGCAATTCGGGTCATCCGAGATTGTGGGATCCAATCGGAAAATCGAAATGCACCCCAATCTCTTGATTCCGAACTTCCGATTGGATCCCACAATTTCGGAGGGCCCGAAGTGCTGATGACCCGAAGTGCAGGAATACGCCCTGAAAGGCCAGCGAAGCACGCAGTCACGCTGCCCGAGGTCACCCATGTCGCTCGCTGGTGTGTGGAAAGATCAGACCCAGGACAACAAGAGAGAAGGCGACACGAGACGAGGGAGAGGAAGGGCACGTGCTGAGTTGGAACAGGCAGGTGCCTCGCCCTAACAGAAAAGAAACCTATATAAGGGCGCATTCCCGGCCTCCGGTCTTCCGGTGTTCGGGTCTTCCGAAATTGTGGGATCCAATCAGAAAGTCCACGTTTCGAGATTTGAATTCTGGGATTGGATCCCATAATTTAGGAAGACCCTAACGCCCGGAAGACCCGAGGCCGGGAATTCTCCCTAAGCTAAAGGGAGTACACTTTTGCTGCTGGTGACTACTGTTCTTCGAGCTTTGATGTACAGTGCACACTAGTGCAGGCTGCCAGTGCGAGAAGAACCCTACTCCACCCCACTCACCCAACCCAATCCATCTCCACCTGTTGATTGCTAAACAGCAGAAGAATGGCCTGAACAAGCTGAGCTGTGCAGGAGGTTGAGCAGAACTGTATGTGGGAGGCCTCGTTTTGGGTTTCGCTGGTTTCACAATTCGTCTATTTTCGGCGGCGCGTGGAGGGAGGGAGTGCCCGATGTTTCTGTTTTGGTCAGTTCTGTTTTGGAAACCGTTGTTGCTTCGAAGTGGAGTTAGGTGTGAGATAGACAGCGTGGGCTGCCCAACAAGCAGAGACAAATATTTGGTAGAGCACAGTAACCTACCTGCTTACTTAATTTGAAACCTGAGCAGCCCGCGTCGCGTTTGCTAAATATGCTCAACACGGGACTGGATTGGATAACTGGGAATTCCCCTGGATACAATAGGCTGAGCTGGAGGCAGAGCAGTTTGCTCCAAGGGTGGTGGAAAGCTGACGTGTATGTGAGCGGAACGCCCTATGGATCAACGTCAACAAACGTGCAGCGCCGCATATCCCGGCGCAGCGTATATTGATGTATCTACACTATTCTATTTTCTAAACTTAGCCATGGCTTGCTAAGTTTGTGCTCAACCACACCTTTAGGATGATAACTGCGATTTTTTTTAATATAAATAAGAAACAAATATTTGCGAGCTACTCTTGCAGACCAAGGAATCCAACAAGGAACATATACTCTATGGCATTGTAAGCAGCCACCCAGGCTTGCTCCACATCTCCTCCCCACTCCTCCCCCATGGCATCTGAGAGCACAGCCACAAAGGCAGCTCTTAGCTTCTGTAGAGTTCGCAGGGGTGGGGGGGGAGCGGGGTGGAGGGAAATAATTAAATATGGAACAAGTCGATACAAGAGTCATTATGGAGAGGACTGAATGTGGGTGGGTGGGGGGAAGGAGGGGGAGGGTGGGGAGGGGGGAATATGGGGGTTGGTTATTTCGGGGATATCATACACAGAGGAGCGTCGGCATTAGATACAAGAACATACAGTAAGAAGTCTGATATGGAGCTGTTAGAACGATTCCATACCGGGGCGTGTTCGCTTGTGACGCCAAAAAGTAGGTGTCGAGAACCGAGGTCGGCTAGAGTCGTCTTCAAAGACCGAACCTCCTTGTGCTTGTCCAGCTTCACTGCTGCTGCACACACCTGGCAGAGGGAGGGTGGACGATATGACTTTTGAGTCGACCCAAAGGTCAAAAGTCGCCTCATTTTGAGTCGACCCCAAAGTCAAAAGTCACCTCGTCTTGAGTCGACTCAAAAGTCTCCAGCTTCACTGCTGCTGCACACACCTGGCAGAGGGAGGGTGGACGAGAAGTAGCAAACGAGGCGCCTGGAGAAACCCCAACCATGTAATTTCAATACTCCTGTCCGCCACATGTCTGCCTCAGCAAGTCGGCTTATTTTGGGTGTTAAGGTTGAGGGCTTGGGCTTGAAGTTCAGGGTCAAGGGACTTTTGAGTCGACTCAAAAGTTATTCTGGGGGTTAAGGTTGAGGGCTTGGGCCTGAAGTCCAGGGTCAAGGTTTCAAGGTTCATGGTGGCATGTGCCTGCAGCAGCTTGTTCTCGCGGTGCGGCTGCTTTGCTCTCTCTCTATCCTCATCAGAAGCATTTAGAGACTTTTACATCATCTAACATGCACAATCCACCATCCACAATCCACCATCCAACATTCACTCACCATACGCATGGTCATGGTGGCATGTGCCTGCAGCTGCTTGATCTCGCGGTGCGGCTGCACTCTCTACATTGGCCAGTCCCACTGCTCACCACATCTCATGCAGCATAGCAGCACACATTAACTCACCATACGTGTGTCACTAACCATGCGCATGTCACTCACCATGCGCATGTCACTCACCATGCGCATGCCACTCACCATGCGCAAGCCACTCACCATGCGCATGTCACTCACCATGCGCATGCCACTCACCGTGCGCCATTCACTCAACACGCACACCATCCTCTCACCATGCGCATGGCCGTGGTGGCATGCGCCTGCAGCAGCTTGTTCTCGCGGTGCGGCTCCTTGGCTCGGCGCGTCATGGAGAACATTTGTTTCGCCTCGGGAATCAGCTCCAGCAGCCTGACAGCGATGGTGGGGGGGAGGATGGGGATGGTGGGGGGGAGGATGGGGACGGTGGGAGCAGGATGAGGGCAGGGTGCATGGGTAAAGTCATGGAGAACATTTGTTTCGCCTCGGGAATCAGCTCCAGCAGCCTGCGGAGATGCAGGGTGGATGAAAGGGTGGGAGGGAGGATAGAAACGGAGGTGGGGGATGGAAAAGGAGGGAGCAGGATGAGGCAGGGGTGCATGGATAGAGGCATGGAGATTATTTGAGCTGCATCAGGTATCAGTACCAGCAACCTGCAGTGATGCAAAGGGGAGGGAGGATGGGAAAGGAGAGAGCAGGATGAGGCAAGGAGGGTTTGGGGTTGGAGGTTTAACGGGCAGGTGGCAGGGGGGCAGGGGACAGAGGCGAAGGGAATAACTGCAAACGGGACGAGAAACAAGGGTGGAATGGATAACGATGGGTGATGATGGGTCAGTGTAGGTGAAAACGTGGGAGCGTGGATGCAAATAGCAAGCATGGGTGAGGCCAAGTGGCAGTGCTTGGGACGCTACTTGATACGTGAACGGCACTTGATACTTGATACGTCTTGATACACGTGCGAACACGAGACGAACGGAAGCGAAGCGTGGTGTAGGCCGGATTGTCACGATGCATGTGGGGTGGAGGTTAAGGGCAAGAAGGGAGGGCTTTGATGTTTCTTTTGAGAATTCTCAAAAGTAGCGTCAAGGAGGGCTTTGATGTTTCTTTTGAGAATTCTCAAAAGTAGCGTCAAGGAGGGCTTTGATGTTTCTTTTGAGAATTCTCAAAAGTAGCGTCAAGGAGGGCTTTGATGTTTCTTTTGAGAATTCTCAAAAGTAGCGTCAAGGAGGGCTTTGATGTTTCTTTTGAGAATTCTCAAAAGTAGCGTCAAAGAGGGCTTTGATGTTTCTTTTGAGAATTCTCAAAAGTAGCATCAAGAAGGAGGGCTTTTGAATCGACTCAGAAGTCGCCTGGTGTAGGCCGGATTGTCGCGATGGCAGGTGGTGGTGGTCAAGAGGAAGGACAGGAGGAGGGAAGGGAGGGGGGAGAGAAGGGAGGGGGGAGAGAAGGGAGGGGGGAGAGAAGGGAGGGGGGAGAGAAGGGAGGGGGGAGAGAAGGGAGGGGGGAGAGAAGGGAGGGGGGAGAGAAGGGAGGGGGGAGAGAAGGGAGGGGGGAGAGAAGGGAGGGGGGAGAGAAGGGAGGGGGGAGGGAAGGGAAGGGGGAGAGAAGGGAGGGGGGAGAGAAGGGAGGGGGGAGAGAAGGTAAGGGGGAGAGAAGGGAGGGGGGAGAGAAGGGAGTGGGGAGAGAAGGGAGGGGGGAGAGAAGGGAGGGGGGAGAGAAGGGAGGGGGGAGAGAAGGTTGGGGGGAGAGAAGGGAGGGGGGAGAGAAGGGAGGGGGGAGAGAAGGGAGGGGGGAGAGAAGGGAGGGGGGAGAGAAGGGAGGGGGGAGAGAAGGGAGGGGGAAAGCCTAGTGTTGGACAAGGTGGTGGGAGGATGGACAAGAAAGGAGGGAGGATGGGAACGTTCCTCGGTGCAAGCCGGTTTGATGCAATGGGGATGTGCAGGCAGGAGGCACGTAGCCATACAGGCGGGAGAGGGATGTGCTGTGCAAGGGGAAAGGATGGAAAAGGCGGGAAGGGGATGACGAGGGCGGAGGGAGGATGTAACGCCTGTGGGCTAGTGTTAAGGGCATTCCGCTGCGCCAAATAACACCCTCGTTTTGACCCAGTGGGTGGCGAGGTGTTATAGAGGATGGACGAAATGAGGAGGGAGGATGGAAATGCTTCTAAATGCAGACCGGCTTAACTCGATATCTCATCTTAACGGTAACTTACCGTTAAGTGAATGTGATCGGAGGGGAGGGGAATGTAGGACTACTATCAATACAATGGCAGAGAACGGTCGCGCCGCGCTCGTTTAGGATTACTTGAGGTAAAGTTCGAGGGCGTGTTTAGACACATCGGGTTCAATCTTGGACGCGAACGTCGCTCGTATCAAGTCCACCTGCTCCGTTGGCAGTACCAGCGGCGGCGCCTCGATCTTCCCGGCCGCCATTTCGCGGCGCGAGCCGCTGCTGATCCTACTCTACCTCCTCTCTTCCACACGAAAGCCGCTGCTGCGCGCTTGTAGCGCGAATGCTACTAGCGAAACGCTACTAGCGATTTATACTAGCCGTTGGAACTCAACCACCACCGTCAGTTCTCCCTCCAGTCCACACGAAAGCCGCTGCTGCGTGCTTGTAACGCGAATGCTACTAACGAAACGCTACTAGACAGTTTTACTTCGCCGTTGGAACTCAACCACCACCGCCAGTTACCCCTCCCTTTCACGCTCCTGCCGCTTGTTTCTTCCAGAGTCTGCCTTCAAGGACAAAATGCGGGTACTATTGTCGTGTCGAGGATTAAGCGGAGGAGACAGAAAGAATTGACCCTGTAACGCGTGTGTGATGGGATGGGATGGGATCGGATGCTTCTGAAAACTGCAGACAAATGCTCTCAAATGTGTCTCCTGTGAGAAAGGAAAATGACACGGTGAGTTGCCCTTTCGTGACGTGAGAAAGCAACTCGCTGGACTCGAAAAGTGCGAAATAATCGCGGGATGGGAGGAAGGACCAACCGCGTCACGTTCGTTACAGTGATACATGCTGATTGGTGGATGTAGCTCTGGAAGTGTGGTGGCAAGGGGTATGGTAGGTGACTGGACCGGTGATATGGGATGGGACAACAAAACAGTAGGGTGGGTCAGTGGGTGCAGTTCCAAAACATGGCAGCAAATCAGCGAAATTATCTCGTGGGTACAGTACAGTGCCAGACTCTTCTACACCACCAGGGTGGGGGTGGGTTCAGCTTTGACTGAAGTTTCCGTGCGGAATAAACCAAGCCTAAATAGGATCTTTCCCAAAGTAGGCTCGGTACAGTACATTAGCACTACAAGCTAACAGTATGTGCCATAAATAAACCTCACAAAAACAGGATATATATTGCCCTTCTTCATGTCAGACCAGGGCAAGAGAACCACGAAAACCACATGGGTCCAGTAATGATTTTGGAGGCTAGTTAAAGAAAATCCCTGTGCTCCCAGAGCGAGAGGCGAGCTGCCATTGGCCGACGCCTCTCTCCTCCTCATCCTCCTGGTCTCGATACACATTCCTCTGTGTGTGCACATACCCCGCTGTCAAAATATTGTGAACAGTTGCCTGCACATTGTCGAAAAAGAAGGGCTTATGAGACGGAACGGAAGGCAGCAATACCAGCAAGCACGGTTCAGGGTTTAGAAACAGTGCCGCTTGGAACAGCAACTTGCCACAAGAACAAGGAGGCAAGGCAAGAAGGCAGGGGCGTACACAATAGCTTGCTGGTTGTGGGCTCCCTATGTTTGGCAGCCTCGCATGATTGCAACGCTATGGGCTTGCAACACTTTCCGCTTGCATTACCATGCGAAGCTGTATTCGCCACGTCTCTCATACACAGATGTCGTCACTCACATGCGTCCAAGACTACAGGCTTGTGTGCACACACGGCTACACGACCACTCACATGCTTCCTGCATCGAAGGATGGATGCATGCACGGCATCCGAGTGACTGACAACAATGATGTTTTCGTCCTGCCACTGCAGCACAAGGCATAACAGCAAGGCAGCACAACAGGGAGAGAGCACAATCAAGGTGATCGGTCAGTTTTGATACGTCTCAGAACACATGCACAGCATCCGAGTGACTGACCACGATGATGTTCTCGTCCTGCCACTGCAGTGCATGGCACAAGGAGGGAGTAGAGCACAGAGCGAGTAGAGCAGGAACGATCAGTATTAATTGACACACACACGACTCAAAATGCGTGAACGACATCCGCGTGACTGACAACAAGGATGTTCTCATCCTGCCACTGCAGCACAAGGCATAACAGCAAGGGAGCACAACAGGTAGAGAGCACAATCAAGGTGATCAGTCAGATTTGAGACGTCCCAAAACAACATGCACGGCATCCGAGTGACTGACCACGATGATGTTCTCGTCCTGCCACTGTAGCACATGGGGCAGCAGAGAACGGGTACAACAGGGAGGGAGCACAGTGGGGCTTTATCACCGCGTCATGCACGACACCCGAGTGACTGACCACGACGATGTTCTCGTCCTGCCACTGCAAGGCATGGACCAACAGGGAGGGAGCACAGCAGAGGTGAACAGACTGCAACACATGTGAATAGGAGTACGTGGACCATAACGCACTGCTGTAGAGAGGGTATTTTTGAGACGTCTCAAAAACACCCTCTCTACACGTGGCTATTCTCTATCTGTTTTTTGAGACGTCTCAAAGACTGCAACACATGTGAATAGCAGTACATGGACCATAACGTACCGCTGGTGGAGGTGAGTGAGACAAACCACCTTGTGACAGGCAGAGAGAGAGGACCCCACCTTGTGAAACCCTGGTCAATATTGCGATGCCTGGCCTCCCTCTAGCCCATCTGCCCTCCTCCTTTCCTTCAGAGACGTTCAGTTATGCTTCAACCTCCATTTAATTTAACCCAACTTCTCTGCCACAAAACCACCTGCTCTACCACAATCCCACCTGCCCTTCCCCATTCCCCACCTGCTCTTTCACGTGGTCAATAGAACGCAGAAGCCATGCTCCCCTTGCCCACCTCCCTGCACCTTCCTTTGCTCCACACCCCCATCTTACCAACCTGCTCCTCCCCCATTCCCCACCTGTTCTGCCACACGGTCAATCGATCGCAACAGCCGCAACGCTGCCTCCTCACCCACATCCCTTCACTCTTGCACCCATCCCTGTCCCTGCCCTTGCCCCACTACCCCTATCTCTCTGTGCCCACCTGCTCTGTCACGTGGTCAATTGACCGCAGCAGCCGCAACGCTGCCATTTGCCCGCCTTCCCTGTCCCTCCCTTTGCCCCACCCAACCCCTTTCCCCCATTTGTGGTCAATTGACCGCAGCAGCCACACCCCCCGTCAAACCTCCCTGCACATCCCTTTTTCCCATCCCCTTTTCTGCCCACCTGATTCCATGCCCACCAGCTCCCCTTCCAATGCCCACCTGATTCCATGCCCGCCAGCTCCCCTTCCAATGCCCACCTGATTCCATGCCCACCAGCTCCCCTTCCGATGCCCACCTGATTCCATGCCCACCAGCTCCCCTTCCGATGCCCACCTGATTCCATGCCCACCAGCTCCCCTTCCAATGCCCACCTGATTCCATGCCCACCAGCTCCCCTTCCAATGCCCACCTGATTCCATGCCCACCAGCTCCCCTTCCAATGCCCACCTGATTCCATGCCCACCAGCTCCCCTTCCAATGCCCACCTGATTCCATGCCCACCAGCTCCCCTTCCAATGCCCACCTGATTCCATGCCCACCAGCTCCCCTTCCAATGCCCACCTGATTCCATGCCCACCAGCTCCCCTTCCAATGCCCACCTGATTCCATGCCCACCAGCTCCCCTTCCAATGCCCACCTGATTCCATGCCCACCAGCTCCCCTTCCAATGCCCACCTGATTCCATGCCCACCAGCTCCCCTTCCAATGCCCACCTGATTCCATGCCCACCAGCTCCCCTTCCAATGCCCACCTGATTCCATGCCCACCAGCTCCCCTTCCAATGCCCACCTGATTCCATGCCCACCAGCTCCCCTTCCAATGCCCACCTGATTCCATGCCCACCAGCTCCCCTTCCAATGCCCACCTGATTCCATGCCCACCAGCTCCCCTTCCAATGCCCACCTGATTCCATGCCCACCAGCTCCCCTTCCAATGCCCACCTGATTCCATGACCGCCAGCTCCCCTTCCAATGCCCACCTGATTCCATGCCCACCAGCTCCCCTTCCAATGCCCACCTGCTCTGCCACGTGGTCAATCGACCGCAGCAGCCGCAACGCTGCCTCCTCGACGTCCTCAGGCCAGCCTGGCAGTGCCACGTCAGCAGCAGCAGTCGCCGACCGAGCGACAACTGGCAGAATCCTGTCCACAGAGCCTGGCGGGAACATGCCTTCCAGCCAGTCACGAGGTGCCAGCGAGGCGGCAGCACTGCTGCCAGTGTTGCCAGCTACAGTACAGAATCCCTCATTCTGCCCCTGCCCATGCCCCTGCCCCAGCCCCTGTTCCTGTCCTTGAAACTGCCTCTCACCCCTTTCTTGTCCCTGTCCGGGTGATGTTCTCATTTGCCCACCGCCCATCCCTACCCCCCCCATCTCCCCAGACTGTACAAACAGCTCCACTGCAGCTGCCGCTGCTGCCACTGCTGCTGGTGCTGGTGCTGCTGCTGCACTACTCCCCGCCCCCCCATCCGCCTGCCTCACCACCTCGTGCAGCCCGTAGTGCACTGCCACGCGCACCTCCCCCCCCCCCACGCCCCCCGCGCCCTGCCATGCCCCGTCCCACATGCCGAACTTGCGCTTGCGGTCCGGAGGAAGGGCTAGGCTCGGCTGAGGCGTGAGGGAGGATTGCTGCAGGAAGGGTAAAGGGGGTTTGGAAGGCAGGGCGGGAAAGGGTAAGGGAAGGCGGGGGTTGGGGGGAGATCAGGCAAGAGAAGAGGTACCTGTCGGCGCCGCATGAGGTGCTGGTGACGTGCACATGCAGACCTGGACACACCTCCACCACTGCTGGCACCACTAGCACCACTAGCAGCAGCACCACCCAGGAATGGGGGAGAGGGGGGAGTGGGGAGTGGGGAGAGAGGAGCGGGGAGAGCAAGAGGTACCTGTCGGCGCCGCATGAGGTGCTGGTGACGTGCAGATGCAGACCTGGACACACCTCCACCACCACTGCCAGCACTGCCAGCACTGCCAGCAGCACCAGCTGCAGCACCGTTACTGGCAGCAGAGCCACCCGCAGCAGCGGCACCAGCACCACTAGCAGTAGCAGTAGCAGTAGCAGCAGGGCGACCACCAAGCTTGCTGCGGCGGAAGCGCGAGGAGAAGAAGGAGGAGAGGAAACTACTGCCCCCTGGAACCATGCTGCTAATTCTGCTGCTGCCGGCGTTTTGAGACGTCTCAAAACTACTGCCCCCTGGAACCATGCTGCTGATTCTGCTGCTGCTGCCGGCGCCAAAGCTGCCGCCAATGCTACCACCACCAGCACCCGCATCAGAATCAGTAGCAGAGGCAGCAGCGGTGGGAGCAGAGGAGGAGGGAGGAGGAAGGGGTTGTGCGTCAGTGAGTGCGAGCAGCAGCTCGAGGGCGGTTTCCACACAGCGCAGGTACGGCGCGCACACTATGCGCGTGACTCCCCACCCCTCCTGCCTCAGCCTCATGCCCACCTGGCCATGTGATGGGGGAACATGGGGAGGGGATTCCAGGCATGGGGATATGGTACAAGTTGAAATGTATGTATAATACATGTATAATATGGTGGAATATATGTATAATATGGTGGCACTAATTTAGAGTGTGGTGATACATATATTTATATATACCCCTGCATGATTTTCTGAGGTGGCTCAAAATACGATTCGTGACATAACCGCATGCCCACCTCCTCTCCCCCTCTTCCTCCTCGCGCTCACCTCATAGGCCTGATATTTCCCCCATTCCGACAGGGGCGGGTCCCACGCGCGTTCCGCGCCCTCTCTGCGCGCCCAAAGGGGGTCGGCGGCGTCCGCGCGCTCCCCGTGGTGCATCACGAACACGTGCTGGCGGCGCTGCATAATCCCCGACTGGAACCCGCACAGGCGCGAAATCAGCCGCCCCAGGGGCGGGTTCATGCGCCGGCAGTCCACCTGCCGCGGCGGCGGAAGCGGAAGCGGCGGGGGCAACGTTGGCGCAAGCGGAAGGGTTGGCGGGGGTGCAGGCGGAGCCCCTGCCGCGGGGAAGAAGCACGAGCTCGCGCACGACGGCGCGGGGAACGGGGACGCGGGGGAGCTCGCGGGGAAGGTTGCGATGACAGAGGCGGAAGAGTGGTAGGGGGAGCCGAATGGTGCGGCGGAAAAGGCGTCCGCGGACATGGGTTCCGCGGAACCCGGGGAAATCCCGCGCGGCGGGGAGCGCGGGGGGGAGCGCGAGGGGGAGTGCGGGGAGGAGATGAGGGAGTAGGCTGGGAGGGTTAGGTCCCGGAAGGGAAGGGGGTTGAAGGTGGTTGCTGGAGGGTGAAAGGAGAGGGATTTGGTTCGGATTAGCTTGGTGGGTGAGTAACAATCCATGGCTGCCGATTGCGCCGCGGGAGACGCTTCGGTGGCCTTGAAAGTGAATATATCCCGCTGCTGCTGCTGCGAAAATTGCTGCTGCTGCTGCTGCTGCTGCTGCGAAAATTGCTGCTGCTGCTGCTGCTGAAACGGTTGTGGTTGCAATGAGTGTGTCTGTACTTGTTGCTGCAATGCACCCCCACCCGCATCTCCCGCCACGTTACCCGCTGAGTCTAGTCTTGCGGGAAGTACCACCTGCGGAAGCAGCGTCTGATGCGGCTGCGCCTGCGGCGGCCACAGCAACTGCTGCTGCTGCTGCTGTCTCTGACGTTTGCCCCCGCCACTATTACCCTTTTCGCCAACTGTTTCGTCGACGTCGCCGTCCATCATAGCGACAGCTTCGTCTTCATCGCAATCTTCGACCGCTCCCAACGCATACGGGCCCCACTCGCTGTTCGCGCCGGCTCGCCGAGTGGAAAGGCCTCTGTGAAGCACTAAATCGACCAGCTTCGCCATTACTATTTGCAGACTGTTTGCTCAGACTACTTGCAAGGAGGCTAGGTTATTATTCCGCTAGAAAAGGATAACGGTGGAGACTATGAAAAAGGCTAAATTGCGGCTTAGACGATTCCGGATAACAGTGGGCCTCTGCGACGCACTAAAGCCACTCGCTTCGCCATGACGACTCGCTTAGAGTTCGACAGAATCAGCAGCCGCGTCGACTGCTTTAGTATGTACACCTCTTCGAGTCGCGAGGACGCTGTTTGAATACACGAGACCAGTTCAGAGTCGTATCGATGTACGAGATAGCGAAATAATTTAGCAGAAAGGGAACTTCTTTATTAGTTGAAGCGAGAAGTTACGTAACTTATTGCCCCCCCTATGAGCCGTGCGAGCCAGTCCCCTAGGCAAGTGTGCGCATTATGAGTCAACCCTAAATGAGTCGATTCTGAAGAATGCCTCTGCAGCCCAGTCGTTCCGTCTCTATGACTGAAGGCGCGTCTCGAATTGGGAAAATTCTATGAGATTGCCAGCCCGGAACGGAGACGGAGTTGGCATCTCGGTGAGATAGAGCGTGGGTGGATTCACGAGAATAGAGGTCAGAAAGCCACGACCAAGCAATGTCGGCCTCCGTTGAGTTCTTGAGATAACGAGTTGAGCAAGTGAAACGACGACGGTCTTACATTAGAACACGGTCAGTTTAGGGGATAAAGCGACGGCTGCTTCCATCTTTCCCGCAAGCGCTCCGAATGTTTTGGTTCTGGTCGGACAGACCTTCGAAGGCCGAAAAACTCGTTTGACGATAGAAGAACGACCGATGATTACGCCGGTTCTAACCTGACGACTGTAGACAGCAGTGAGGGAGAAAGCCTGTGTAGCAGCTATGGCAGACAAGTGAACTGCCAAAAGCTTTTCCCGAAAAAAATGTTTCAAACGCTTGGATGCGGTGCAGTACGCATATTTGTGGTACAGAGGTAGAATGGCATTGAGGTTGGGGGGAGAGATTTTTCCTGAGGGTGTGTTTTTCCAACATGGAGAACTTTGTAAGCGTGTATCGGCTGTTACAATGTCACTTTCGCGCTCGTTATTTTTGTACCACGACGACACAATACCGGCCCTCGCAGTGGGAAGAACGCGACCTCGCGTCAGTTTCCTGGAACTTCGGCTCGGGGAGGGACCATGGGCGACGAAATGGGTTGCGTTGCGTGCGGTTTGGTTTGGGAAAGGGTGGCACACTTGACAGCCAGACCACACTTCCGGTTTACGTGCTTGTCGTGGTCTCGACATGTTCAGTTTGTCCTCGTTATGGGTTTGTGCTGCGATCCGACGTACACCAGCAGGTGACTCTTTCTCACACCATAACTCCTAGCTAAACCAGTCACCTCTATGCACCTCTTTGCTACCTTCACCACCACCCAGGGATAATTGGGTTGCGTAGCAACCTTATACATTCGTTTTCACTTTTCGGTTGGCTGATGTGAACAGTGAATTTCTTTTATAAAATTTGAAAGAAATCATTGTTCACATAGCTTCCCCAAAAAAATGAAAACAAATGTTTCCAATCATTCCATAATCGTCGATAAGTACGGCGAATGGAACAATTGGAGAATCGTTGTAGCACTAAAGATAATACCCAATGACACACGAACACAATGGAAAAAAAAAAAAAAAAAAAAAAAAAAAAAAAAAAAAAAAAAAAAAAACGGTAGTACCACCGAGAGACACTCGTACATAAATGACCACAAAAACGTTGGTGTACAAGTATCGTCGTACATGTTTTGAAGGGAATATTAAATGCATCAATGCAACAACTGAGACTGATATGGTACGGAAGAGGCGAGCGAAGCTGCCCCACCGACGATCACAATCCCAGTTGCATACACGATACATTTAGCACTACACCCTCGAAACAAGCACAGACGATAACACATAAATAACAGAAAAATGATTACAAAAACAGAAGACAACGTTTTATACATTTGCTTTGAAGCAAATGCTAATTGCATCAATGCTGCAACTGTGATTGATATAGTACGGAAGAGGCGAGCAAAGCTGCCCCACCGACGATCACAACCCCAGTTGCATACACGAGGCACTTAGCATTATACTCTGAAACAAGCACAGACGGGTACCACGCAAACTTGTACAACAAGCACAGACGGGTACTGCGCAAACTTGTACAAAAACATACTTCAACAATTATTGGGATTGTGAATGCCCTGAAGCAAATGATAAATGCATCAATGCTGCAACTGTGATTGATATGGTACGGAAGAGGCGAGCAAAGCTGCCCCACCGACGATCACAACCCCAGTTGCATACACGAGGCAGTTAGCACTATACTCCGAAACAAGCACAGACGATAACACATAAATAACAGAAAAAAGATTACAAAAACAGAAGACAAACGTTTTATACATTTGCTTTGAAACAAATGCTAATTGCATCAATGCTGCAACTGTGATTGATATGGTACGGAAGAGGCGAGCAAAGCTGCCCCACCGACGATCACAACCCCAGTTGCATACACGAGGCACTTAGCACTATACCCCGAAACAAGCACAGACGGGTACCACGCAAACTTGTACAAGAAGCACAGACGGGTACCACGCAAACTTGTACAAAAACATACTACAACAATTATTGGGATTGTGAATGCCCAGAAGCAAATGATAAATGCATCAATGCTGCAACTGTGATTGATATGGTACGGAAGAGGCGAGCAAAGCTGCCCCACCGACGATCACAACCCCAGTTGCATACACGAGGCACTTAGCACTATACTCCGAAACAAGCACAGACGCGTACTACGCAAACTTGTACAACACGCACAGACGGGTACCACGCAAACTTGTACGAAAACATATTTCAACAATTATTGTGATTGTGAATGCCTTGAAGCAAATGATAAATGCATCAATGTTGCAACTGTGGTGATATGGTACGGAAGAGGCGAGCAAAGCTGCCCCACCGACGATCACAACCTCAGTTGCTTACACGAGGCACTTAGCACCATACTTCGAAACAGACACTAACACCATATCCCACAACAAACACATGCACATGGGTGGAACAAACAAAACAAGAAAAAAAAAGCACATAAAAATCAAAACACCACAGACACACGGACGTAACTGACACAAACACCACGCAAGCACAGTTGTTGTTATAACATGACAACACACTCATTTCTAACGAGACGTAGAATTCACGCACAACGTACTAAGTAGCAAACAAACCCAATCACAATCTACTATTATATTTAAAGCAGTGTAAAAACGTATTCATCTTCCCCTTCCGCTATCCATTTCCTCTCCTTTGCTCGCCCTTCGTTTTCATCTTATGCTCGTATTCATCGTCGTCATAGCATGAGGCTGTCGAACTTACGTGCGCTGCAAAGGAAAAAAAAAGGGGGGGTTGCTTGAGAATTCGATGAGAAAATGTCACTAAGACATTAGGTTACCCAATTTAAGAAAAATGATAAATTAGTCAAACACCATATGCTGTTTGGGAAAGAAAGTTTGTAACACAACAGATTATTCGACAAAGAAACCAAACTACAATAACTATGTAACATATAAGTAAAAAATATAGCAGTAAAAAAGAATAGCTTGTAACTTACTGTCAAAATTAGAAGAAAGAAAGAGGATTGAACTAGCAAGAATGAGGATACAAATAGCAAACCCTAGAAGGGTTGTACTCGCTATAGAGCACCCCACTACAGGCTAGAACAATAAGATAATATTCTGACACACCCCCATAGCCAAAGTGGGGTGTAATCAGCAGAGCAGGCAAAACAGTACAAGCTCAGGGTGGATCACAATGTCACCACGCATTCTGAGCACAAGGTCAAGAAGAAATAGTTTAGAGTTCACAATTATAAGCAAAGCTAGTGGTAGTCACAACGGGCAAGTGAGGAGGAGGAGGGAGAGTGAGGGGAGAGGAGACAGGAGGCGACGGCTGAAGCTGCAGACACACGGGCAACAGGAGGCAGACTGGCACAGCGGCTACCGGACAGCGCCCGGACTACAGGAGTAACAGGCCCCGCGGCTCAAATAGCGGCGGACGGGCAACGGACCCACGGGCGGCTGGCACAGCTGGCTACGACTGGGCTACCGGGACAGCGCCCCGGACTACAGGTGCTGCTGACGACAAACTGGCAACCTCCGCTCATCCTCCCGCACACAGTCCCACCCCCCTGATACACACCCACTGCTACACCACTAGCTCTACTCCCACGCACCCCCCTTAAACCCTAAACCCAGTCTCCCACACAACCACCCCCCTCAGCGACAGCTGCAGCAGTGGGAGACGAAGGAGGA